CCACACCTAACTCATGCGTTGGTCCATATGCATTTCGAATTACACCATACCCTAGTGGAACATCTTGTAAGCAAGATCTTGACCAAGATACAAGGGACAAATATGTTAACAGATCTTGACAATTGAGCTACAAGATAATCACATTATCTCGGACCAAGATCTGCGATTAGATCTTAGGTGCAGATTTATAAGATCTTGGCTGAAATACTCATGGTTGGGTGTGGGTGTGGATGAGGATAAAAAGAAAATGTACCCCCACAGCCACATCCGCATCCATACCGGCAATCCCACCCACACCCACACACCCTCTTTACATGAACTTGTATATAATCTAGTTCTTGTACACAAGTTAAAAGGCAAAGAAAATATTTTCAAATCCTAATACAGAGAATAGAAAGCGATGTGATCATTTTCGTCTGCCTTAAATTGTTTATTCTTATTTCTATCTTAGTGGAAGACTTTTTTGCATGGGTACATGGAGAGAAAAATACGTTTTATTGTCTTTTTTACAGAGTTCCTATAAATCCTATATTGTTCCTGTTTTTGGAATACACATCCTACTTTAAAAAAAAAATAAAATCCTATGTACTTTCTATATTCTCGAAAAACTGTAATCCGATCCCTGTTACATGTCCTTTTTTTAACCTTCAGTCAATCTTTTTCGTTATCGTCACCTGAAGAATTCACTATTTTCTCCCATGCTGGCAAAGATTCACACTGTTATCGAAAATATAAAAAGCAAAATAACTATACTCATATTTGACTAGCGGTAGAAATAGCAGAATACACGATGCTCACAAATATAATCTTTTACTCTTCGATTGCTCTCTCACTCATCAGTCTCAGTGTTCAAAATCTTAACAAACGTACAGTACTTTCTGGACTTGGTGATCTTGATTACAGTTTTCTTCGGGCTCCAACAAGTCCAGCTGGACATGGTGGTAATAGAAATCTATGTCATTGTAATGGTGCTTCGCCACAAGATGTTCTAACTGTAACATACCAAGGTTCCGAAAGTCAAAATCTTGTTTTATGTATGTGTCCTAATGCAGTTACGGGCGCCAGTCATATGATAGATACAATGGGAAAAGTCCCCGCTCCCATTCGTCGTTACAACAAAGCCATGATCTCAGCAACTGCTGGGACGTGTGGAGGAGCTGGATCGAGTGGAGATGTTTCATTCTATTGTTCAAGTAATATGCATGTCTCTGTATTTATTCATGAATCAGCACATTCAATGGATCGTGGTAAGTCGGCATCGAGAGAGTGGCACGATGCTGTGGCACGAGATTCATGCGTACCTGATGCTTATGCCAATAGCAACTATGCAGATAACTTTGCTCAAGTAGTTGTTCTTTGGGTTCATTTGGTTGGTAAAGGACGTGACAAGGACTTAGGTGGAAGTCAATTTTCGTGTATGAGAAATCAACTGCAGAAAATGGCGGAATATTTGCCTGCTTCCAGTCTCAAGCCATAAATTAGCTTGTTTCAGAGAACCTTTCCAAATATTGGTGCTTGTAAGAAATTTTTCTTAATAAAAGAAACTTCAATAATAAAAATTATCAACAGCTGTAACAAAAAAATGATCAAATCTATTCGTGTATTCTAAATATTTAATATCAATACATAGATGTACTCAACTTATTGTAAAACTGGATAGGGTAATTTACAGACAAAAAAGCTTTGTTGAAAAATTAATTAAAGATTTGAAAAACAC